TGTCACATTTTATTTGTAGTGTGAACGAGCAGACAAAAAAATTGAAAGAATTGATCAAAAAATCGGAATTGAGCATCAAGACCTGCAGTGTGAACGTAGCCTAAGACTGTTTTTTGAGTTTTACAGTTAGGAATATGGCTCTCTGTCTACAATGTGCCATCTCTCAAGACAGTCAAAACCCTTTAACTGGATGAATAGAGGATGGATGGACGAAGGGATGGACGGAGGGATGATGGATAGATGGAGGGATGATGGAGGGATGGATGGATGGATGGACGGAGGGATGGATGGACGGATGGATGGATGGACGGAGGGATGGACGGACGAAGGGATGGAGGGATGATGGATGGATGGATGGATGGACGAAGGGATGGACAGAGGGATGGGTGGACGGACGAAGGGATGGATGGAGGGATGATGGAGGGATGGATGGATGGACGGAGGGAGGATGGATGAATGGATAGATGGAGGGATGATGGATGGACGGAGGGATGGATGGAGGGAAGGATGGAGGGATGGAAGGAGGGATGGAGGGATGATGGACGGAGGGATGGACGGATGGACGGAGGGAGGGACGGATGGATGGACGGAGGGATGGATGGACGGATGGATGGATGGATGGACGGAGGGATGGAGGGATGATGGATGGAGGGATGATGGACGGATGGATGGACGGACGAAGGGATGGAGGGATGATGGATGGATGGATGGAGGGATGGATGGATGGACGGAGGGATGGACGGAGGGATGGGTGGACGGACGAAGGGATGGATGGATGGATGAACGGACGACGGGATGGATGGATGGATGAACGGAGGGATGGATGATGGACGGAGGGATGGAGGGATGATGGAGGGATGGATGGATGGACGGAGGGAGGATGGATAGATGGAGGGATGGAGGGATGATGGATGGACGGAGGGATGGACGGAGGGATGGAGGGATGATGGACGGAGGGATGGATGGACGGATGGACGGATGGATGGATGGAGGGATGGATGGATGGACGGAGGGATGATGGAGGGATGGATGGAGGGATGGATGGATGGACGGAGGGATGGGTGGACGGACGAAGGGATGGAGGGATGGTGGAGGGATGGATGGATGGACGGAGGGATGGATGGGAGGGATGGAGGAGGGATGGACGGAGGGATGATGGATGGATGGACGGAGGGATGATGGATGGATGGGTGGACGGAGGGATGGATGGACGGATGGATGGAGGGATGGACGGAGGGATGGATGGACGGATGGATGGAGGGATGATGGAGGGATGGACGGATGGATGGATGGAGGGATGATGGATGGACGGACAGAGGGATGATGGATGGATGGAGGGATGATGGATGGAGGGATGATGGATGGAGGGATGAGGGATGGAGGGATGATGGATGGATGGACGGACGGATGGATGGATGATGAATGTGGCTCTCTGTCTACAATGTGCCGTCTCTCAAGACAGTCAAAACCCTTTAACTGGAACTTTATCAGTCAGGCTAAAATCAGAAGTACTGATATCATCAGGACATCTTCACACTGAGCCAACACCTCTCTGTTACAGAGCTGAGGATGCCTTTGTGTCAAATATCTAGAATAAATATCTACATTTAACCTACAATGACAAAACCAACACAAAGTGCTCTGACTAAATCAAGTTTGTGCGATTGTCTCTACATTGTGATTGATGAGACTACAAACCATGATACACATTTAACAATTAAATGTTCTGACAAACACATTTGTTTCAGTTTCTGCTCATTTTATTTCCAAATTAAGAAGCAAATTATGTGAGTAATTTAGAGTGTCCAATCAAAGTGCATGTCTGCACTGTGAGAGGCCCCACAGAGCCGCTGCTGTTACAACCTCCTTTCAAAATCTGTATATGATGGAGTCAGATTTGCAAACCTGTCCTGTGGTCTGACTGTCTACTCAATACTGCAAGGCCTTTAAAGACCCTGCAGTTTGGGGACAAAGCCCTGACAATCAGACCACCCCCTCTGAGCAAGCACAAGGCGACGGTGGGAAGGAAAAACTCCCTTTTAACAGGAAGAAACCTCCGGCAGAACCAGGCTCGATGAGGGGAGGTCTTCTGCCGCAACCTGAGTTAAATGACAGCGTTTGTTACAAACAGCTGAAACGGCTGCAAATGTTTTGAAAAGAGGATTGTAACTGTTGTAACATTATGAAGGCACCCCGAAAGGTGGATTCTGTTCATGTGGACGTAGCGTTCACAGCGGGCGGTG